TTTTTTACACAAAGAAAAAAAAAGTTTCAATATCTTTGTTTTTGAATGTTTTGCCACTTATTAAATATTCTAGTGATCTAAACAAATGGAAATCTTTTGGTGCAAAATGTGTCTTTATATTTTGTCCTGCTAGAGAATAAAACTTTTTCTGTTTACCAAAAGCAAGAGATATTCGATGTAATGCTTCGTTTTTCTGACAATAAACGTCTTCAGTGATGTTCCTTCCATGATTCAGTAGATCGCAATGGACATGTTTCATATTCGACTGTCCTGTTCTGGGAGTTGGAACTGGTTTTTCATGTAGATATAACCATGATCTTTTTCGTCTTTTGTTCACACGCAAAAACCGTTCTTCATTACCTGTAAAAATGCGATGCCAAATGTAAGGTTGGCAATTCTCATTAAAAGACTGCTACAGATGGAGGCACGGTTCTCAATCGGAAACTCACGCGGATCCCAAATTCCATCTTAAAAAGTCTTATTGTTTGTAAAAATTGTTATTAAATGTGAAATAGCATTGTTTGATGGTGAAGCGTTAGTTTTTTTTAAAAGTTTCTTTTAGCTATTGCTAGGTAGAGGTTTATATTTGACTGTGTTATATCCTTTTTGAAACGACCAACGTCTCTCGTAGTGTAGTCACAACAACGTCAACAAATCCAGTCTGATGAAGTCCTAACGGATGAAACGCGTCACAAGTAAAACTTTTTCTTTCTTACAATTTCCTCAATACTGCATTAAAAATATAAATATCGTTATCTCATATATATATATATATATATATATATATATATATATATATATATATATATATGTAATAGCTGGCCACTCGTATTTGCGGATACCCGTCTACTTGAAGTTATTTTTAATCATTGATCTGAGAAAATGGTTGTCTACCGAAGATAAACTAAACATTTCTGAATTCATTTGATGCCATACGTGACATCCACATGAAGGTCTGGATCTGACGAGGTTATTTAACAACAGAAGACAAAATGTATAGCTTTCAGCAAAAGAAACAACGCGTAAATTACAAACTGTAAATACCAAAATTAAATTTAGTGCAAAGATTTATATATCTAGGAAGTGTTTTAACAGAGTATAGAAATACGACACTGAAATCTGCGATAACGAAAGGTAAACAAAGTTCCACACAATTATTTACTCTTGTCTTAATATTAAGTCTGATCGGTTCGGTCAGGTCATATTGGCATCTGATCCAAAAAATGACCTTCAATCTGTCGTTGAATGGGACATAGAGTGGCTTGTTAATTTTAACGCCTCAAAAACGAAACTGCTCTCTTTTAATCATCTGTGAGATCTCTTTTTACCTTCTTATGGCTGATGCTAACCTCCTTACGCCTTCTAACGTTTGAAAGGAATGTGTATATTAAATCAATTGAACCAATTATTGTTTCTCTGTGTCGTCGTAGATAATTTTTCCCGACAGAATCTTATCTTATGTATTTATAAGCCTATCATTCGCCCTGTCTTTGAATATTGCTGCACATCTGATCTGGGTATTCTGCGCTATATTTAGAGATTCTTGATAAAATCTAAAAAAGAATGTGTAATGTTATTGGTCATGATCTGGCATCTCGGTTTCAGTCACTTTCCCGCTGCCGTAACTTAGCTTCTCTGTTTCTTTTCTATAAATACTTTCAGCGTAATTATGATCAACTTTCCGCTATGGAACCTAAACTTTATGGATTTAAGCGCAGTACAAGATTGGCCATAAGGTCTCATCAAATTTACAGTTAAACTGGTGAGATGCAACCGTAAGTTCTATGCTAACAGTTTCTTCAATCACACTTCTGCTTTTTTGCTTCCCAGTCAACTTTGACCTTCAAAATTTTAAACGCAATATCCATGGATATCTTCTGTCTTTTTAATCCTTGTTTTATTTTATTGTTCTCTGTACTTAATAGTAGTTTTTCTCATATTCTATAATACTCAATCGTCCGCTTGCGTCTTACTGGCTTTATTGTTTTAGGCATAGTTGTCAGTAAAAGAAACAGACCAACATGAAAATTACAAGATATCAAAATCAAGAGAATACATTGGGATATCGAAAGATGATTTCGAAAAGCTAAGCAAAGTATTAAGAAACAAGAAAATTTCGTTAGAAACAAAGAAAAACGTGTTGAACTGCGATGTGATATCAATCCTTCTAAATTGCGGAGAGTCAATATCGCCAACGTCCTGAAGGGCCACGACACATAGAAGAACAATAAACTAGGAAGAGAATAATCATGACTTCATAGAAAAGAATGATATATATATATATATATATATATATATATATATATATATATATATATATATAGAGAGAGAGAGAGAGAGAGGGGGGGAGACAGACAGACGGCATTTATTCTTTCTTTTAGGTAGATACACGTACCAATGAAAGTGTAAATGTGCATTAAAATATATTTATGAATTTAAGCGCAGTACAAGATTGGCCATAAGGTCTCATCAAATTTAAATGCAATGTCAATCGTTATCTACTATCTTCTTGATTCCGCTTCTTTTATTTTTTTATCGCTGCTTTTTTCTTCTTTTTTCACATTTAGTAACCCCTTGTGTCGTAGTGACTTTACTACCTTAGATGGGGTGAAATGATTAACAATGTATTAAAAGATGAAAAATGATTAAGAAAGATGAAAATGTCGTTAGAAACAAAGAAAAGATTACTGAACTGTTATGTGATATCAGTTCTACTCTGTGGCAGTGAATGTTGGACAACCTCCTCACAGATGAAGAAGAGACTTGAAGCAACAGAAATGTAGTTCTATGGAAGGATGCTAAGAATGCTATGGATCGAACATATAAGTACCGACAGTTTTAAAGAAAATGGGAACAAAAAGAACACTTGTGTGGCTTCAGAAAGAGAAAGTTGAAATTTAAAGGACACATAATGAGGAAAGAGGGCTTAATACCCACAAAGTACACTGAAGGCAAGATGGGCAGAGGAAGACAACGTGAACTTGAATAAATGTATAGTGGAACAAGTTTTAGGAGAAAAAATAGAAAAAATTTCTTAAGTGCTACAAAGGACAGGGAATAGTGGAGAGCCATGATCGCCAACGTCCTGAAGGGACACGGCACACAGAAGCAGAAAGAGTTTGTGTAAATGGATGGCGGAACAAGGTTTAGGAGAGGTGATAAAATGAAAAAAATTATTAAGAGCTACAAAGCAAAGGAAATTGTGGAGAGCCATGATCGCCTACGCCCTGAAGGGACACAGCACATAGAAGAAGAAGAATGAGCCTGAGGAAATGGAGATGGCGGAACAAGGTTTAGGAGAAATAACAAAAAGAGAATATTTATCAAGAGCTACAAAGGACAGAAAATTGTGGAGGGCCATGATCGCCAACGTCCTGAAGGGACACGGCACATAGAAGAAGAAGAATGAGCTTGAATAAATAGATGGTGGAACAATGTTTAGAAGAGGTAACAACCCCCCCCCAAATTATTAAGTGCTACAAAGACAGGGAATTGTGGAGAGCCATGATCGTCAACGTCCTAAAGGGACAAGGCACATCTTGTGGTGTTGAATAAAACTAACCCCAATTCAACGTATCCCGTTGTTCAGTTTCGTCATTCATTAATCGATATTAAAATATTCCTGTCATTTTTGTCCATGAATAAAATAATAAAGTGACAATCCGTTTTCGTAAATATTCAATTTTTAATTTACTGTTGTAATTAGTGAAAGCAGCTTTATTGGATTTTGGGGTCGGGGTTATTTTTTACTTTTACAGAAAAAACGAATATAAAGGCTTAAAATAAAGATAATTGTCAGATGTATTTTCTGACAATTCGAGGGCATAAAAGATACATTTACAAAGAAAAGATGTGGGCAATGTTTAACCTTCATGCTTGTAAAAACAAAAACAAAATCAGTTTGTTAAAAGGTTGGTTATTCTCTTGACAGCGCTATTACTGTATACACCTTTTGACTCTCTCGGCAATACAAAATTAAAAAAATATGTGAACCAAATACAATACTTTTATTTAGTATTTACTTTTTATAATGATTTAGTATTTATCATCTTATAAAGAAATACATTTGAAAAGAAATCTTTTTATTTAAAAAATTTATAAAATATTGCAAAATTATCAAACTATAGAAACCAACTACAATGCAATATTAATTATTTACCATCTTATAAATAACTATGAAAACACATTTTTTATTCATAATTTTATAAAAATATCTATGAACCAGAAAATTTGAATAAACATTTTTTGGGGCATCATACATTTTATTTTCCGATTATTTTAAATATCATATTATTTCTTTTTTAATTTCTTATTCCTTTATAAAATGGAAAAATAATAAATATTTCGTTATAAATGGTTCACATATTTTTATAACCGTGTAAATATAATATTATTCTTGTAAATAATCAATTTAATAAATAAATAGGGTTTAACATCTTTGTTGTCTTTTCGCAAGAATAAAGAAAATATATAAATCCACTTTCATATTTATAGAGTTTTGTTAAAATACTAATCATTGCTTTTTAAAACAATAAACATTGACTGTGTAATTAGCAGTTATTAAACCTGGAATTATTTCCCTTGGAAGGACTTTGTCAATTATGCTTTCTTTAATTGAAAAAAAAAAATCACTCAGAAGGCTTGATTAGAATTAATTTTATAGAAATATCAATGTACTATGAAACAAGAAAATTTGAACAAACCTGATTTTCCGGATATAATATATTTTCTTTTCAGATCCACTTTGATATAATTGGGTTTTATTAAAATTCTAATCATCGATTTTAAATCAATAAACATTACCGAGGGAGTCAAAAGTGTATACAGTAATAGCCTAATCAAGGGAATAACTAGTCGTTTTTGGCGCCGGTAGGAAGGTTAAACATTGCCAAAAATGTTCAGAAATACATCCTTCTTAAAATTACATCTTAAGAGGTCGTGACCTTTATCTCAAAGGCACAAAAAATGCATAATCTGGACAGTTTATTAATTGTCTCTGCTCATTTACAGACAGTTACCCATTCATCAAAGACGCATTCCTCACAGAGTACGTAACAGCACCAGTAGAACTTACAACGGCACCTTTCCGTTCGTCGCACTCTGAGGGTGTTGTAACCGCGGCCACAGCAGAGCGTGTTGCAGTTATCTACATCGGTCCCTGTCCGATTGCAAAGACGACCTGACGTCCCCGGAGAGTCAATCTCGGGATTCGGCTCGCAAAAACTCGGTGATTTCTCGTAGTAGACGAGATCTGTTTTCCGAGGAAAGCGTCCACGATAGCGTCGCCCTTTCCTTCTCCTCTTCTTCTTCTTCTTCCGTCTTCTCCGTTTTCTTTTTCGGCTGCTCCATTTTCGCTTCCGGGTGACTGTGCCCGAACTTTCAGGAAAACTGTTCTTTATTTTTAGGTCTGTCCATGACGACGTCGGTGTTGTGGCTTTCGACCTGTGACGATTCCGGCGTCGCTTACTGCCTCGCGTTATTAGTGCTTTTGCTGCTGTATTGTGAATGATGACCTGAAATAAATAAGCAAATTTGCTTTTCTTCAACAGGAATCATAAGAATACAATACTTGGAAAATATACGTAAAGACATAGCAGTATATATATATATATATATATATATATATATATATATATATATATATATATATATGTATATGTATAGTTGGATTGATGTGAGTTTGTGACCGTCAGACAAACTGATTAATTTTTAAATTTTGGATTTATATATGGTTGCGTATATCGGCGTTTTTATAGAAGTGAGAGGAAAAATTGTCGTCGGAACGCCACTCATACTTACGCAAACATACATACACGCACGTACACTCATTGACGTACGCAGACACACACACACGCGCACACACACACACACACACACACACACACACACACACGCACACTCACCGGAGCTCACACAAACATAAACATATGTGAACAGTGTCGGACTGGGCATATATACGCATCCATCTGTCGTTGCGCACGTACGTACGCATTTGATCGCTATATTCAATGTTGGATTGTATAGCGAATATTTTATGTTTGTTCCGCTGTCAACGCGCAGACCGTTTTTCTATTTTGTTCACTGAATAATATTTTCTCGCACGCACGTATATACGTATGATGGCGGTCTGTGTAAGATTATGATAGCTAAAAATTATTATTATTATTAATTTTTTAAGGCTGTTTTAAAGCCGGTTATTTGCTTGTTTTTGGCGATTGCGCATATGTAAATGGTAGAAATTCCAATTTGTAATACTTATTTTTATATAAGCGGTGGTATTAATTTTGCCTAGGGAGGGAGAAGTAAGTATAATTGTGGACTGATACGGTAATGGTAATTGTGGACTAATACGGCAATGGTAATTGTGATGTGGTAGTAATGGGGTGGAGAGTGGGTGATGATAATAATAATTGTATCAGCAAATAGTTATTGTAAAGTGGTAGAAGTGATCGTAGTAATGGTGGTGGAATGATAATAACAATAATTGTAATTATTATGATGGTAGTTTGAACTTGAAAATAATTGATGGTGTTATGGTGTCAGTGGTTTCTTTTTTCATGTTTATAGGGTCAGTGGTAGTTTATGTTATAGTGTTGGTATTTTTTTATCTGTTTGGCATAAATTCTGATAATAGATATTTATTTTCATGCCTGCATTTGGAAATTATTTCTGATATTATGTTTAGTAAATTCTTTTGTTGGGTATGAGAAATTATTGCTATTTTTCGTGTGGGCAAAGGAGGCATTTCTTTTTAATGTTAATATTTTCCAGCTTATTCTTGCTGTAATATTTCTGTCTTTTAGATGCCATATGTATGTGTATATTGCAGTACTGTTTGAGTATTTTCTGTTGGAGAATGAAAGGTCATGTTTGTTTTTCCTCTTCTCAAATGGTCCTTCAGTGGCACCGATGTAGTACATTGTTCTGTTGTTTACACTTATCTTGGCTTTATATATTATATTTGTTTGTTGGCAATTTCCTTAGAGTGGGCATGTTGTTTTATTTATAGTGAGGCCCATGAATAATAAAATAACTAGTGGTCAGTAATGAATTTAAGCATTGTTGACAAAATAGGACATAGAGGACCTATTCCAAATTTTGCTGATAAAATATTTAAAATATAATGGCTAATTATTGGACTATAGTAATGTATTGCAAATTATTTTCTAACAGGAATTCATTGTCAGATGTATCAGAATGATCGAGCTGTTCCAATTCCTCACCTTTCGTGCCGCGTAGAATTTTCTTTTCAGTACGGTACCGACTTCCCGGAAGTCTGCCGTAGATTTCCAGCAAGTTTTCATTTCGCAGCTACCGGACATACCGTGACATTTGCATTTCTTGCCGACATTATTGGTAACAGCCTGGAAGAATAAAATGTAAAAAAAATAAATTTAAATCTGAAGCACTTGAATGGACAATGTATTCTTCTCCGAAAGAACTGTTGACGCTACATGACCTTCCTTTTCCATAAAGTCAGCGCTTCTTTATATAATCTAGCGATATACGGATGTGTGAAAAAGTACTCGAATCTTAGAATTATTTCCCTTATATTTTTTCCTGATTAATTAATCCAAATTTCATTTAATGACATTTAATCTACACAACGTTTGTAAAACAGTCTAATGCGTGAACTGATAATAAAGAAAGAATTAACATTGTGAATTATTTTATTTGATTGAGTGACAGCTTATCAACATTTTGCAGGTTGTATAAAGGCAGAATATATTTTTAGATTATGAGAATTACTGGGGGTGGGATATAATAATGATATAGTGATAAAAGGCTTACTAATTAACCCATACCTGGAGGGAGAAGAGTTGGAATCATATCTTTCCCAAGGATATTTGCGCGCAAGTGAATATAAGGAACCCAGCTGAAATTCGAACTCATTTACACAATACGGCCCGAATCTGGTAATTCAGGTCAATATTGGTCATCATGAACACGATACGGCCTCTGAAGCTGCGGCGTTTCGGAATCAGGTAGTTCAGGTTAATGTTGGCCTTCATTTACACAATACGGCCTCCGAAGCAGCTGCGTGCCCGAATCACGTAGTTCAGGTTACTGATGGACACCATGTACACGACACGGTCTCCGAAGCAGCTGTGAAACTGAATCAGGTGCTTTCAGTTACAAGATATGGCCTTCGAATCTGCAGCGTGCCCCGTATCCGGTAGTTGTTAATGTTGGCTATTATGTACACGATACGTCCTCCGAAACTGCTGCGTGCCTCAATCAGGTAGTTCAGGTTAATGTTGGCCATCATGTACAAGATACGGCCTTCGAAGCTGCTGCGTGGCCGAATCAGGTAGTTCATGTCAAATAATATATATATATATATATATATATATATATATAAATATATGGTACTCGCTTGGAAAAACCTTGGGTGTTTCGGTTTGTAATTGAAGAAAGCAATGCCCAAGGAAAAATGAGGAATAAAAAGAGAAAGAACTAAGAACATGAAACTGAGGCGAAAATTATGGTCCAGAATCCAAGCTCAGAGTCCAAAGAAAAGAAAATCCAAAACGAGTAAAAGTAACTACCTAAAGTGCTCAATAGACGAAGTAGAGCACACCTAATATAAATATTATATGTTATATATATATATATATATATATAGGTAGGTTTGCAGAGCTCTTTAGGTTCATAGTTAGATTTGCTGAACGTAGATTATTGAGCACTTTTCTTGGTTATTTTTATTTTACTCGTGTCGGAGGTTTGGATTCTGGTCGATTATGGTCGTCGAAATGAGACGTTCCTAGTTTTTTCTTTTTTTTATTCCTTTTTTTCCCCTTGGGTACTGGATTGTTCATTTACAAGCCAGTACACCTAAAGTTTTTTCCGGACGTGTATATTGACTTATATTTATACGATATATATATATATATATATATATATATATATATATATATATATATATATATTTATATATATATATATATATATATGTATATATATATATATATATATATATATATATATATATATATAATATATATATATATATGTATATATATATATATATATATATATATATATATATATATATATATATATATATATATATATATATATATATATATATACAAGAAATACAGGACCACTTGATCCGGGCATACAGTTGTCTCGGAGGTCGTATCGTGTACCGGATGACCAATATTAACCTGAACTACCTGATTCGGGCATGCGGCAGATTCGCAGGCCGTATCGTGTACATGATGACCAAGATTAACCTGAACTACCTAACTCGGGCAAGCAGCAGCTTCGGAGACCGCAATGTGTACACGATGGCCAACATTAACCTGAACTAACTGATTCGGCTACGCAGCGGGTTCGGAGGCCGTATCGTGTACATGATGGCCAACATTAACGGGAACTAACTGATTCGTAGGTGCAGCAACTTCGGGGGCCGTATCGTGTTCATGATGGCCAACATTAACCTGAACTACCGAATTCGGGCACGCGGCAACTTCGGATGATGTATTGTGTAAATGATAGTCAACATTAACATGATCCACCTGATTCAGGCACTCAACAGCTTCGAAGGCCGTATCGTGTACATGATCGCGAAAATTAACGTGAACTGACTGATTGGGCCATGCAGCAGCTTCGGAGGCTGTAGTGTGTAAATGATGGCCAACATTAACCTGAATTAACTGATTGGGCCACCCAGCAGTTTCGGAGGCCGTATCGTGTAGATGATCGCGAACATTAATCTAAACTAACCGATTCGGCCACGCAGCAGCATCGGAGGCCGTATCATGTACATGATCGCGAACATTAACCTGAACTAACTGATTCGGCCAAGCAGCAGTTTCGGTGGCCGTATCATGTTCATGATGGACAACATTAACATGAACTACCGAATTCGGGCAAGCGGCAGATTCGGAGGGCGTATTGTGTAAATGATGGCCAACATTAACATGAAATAACTGATTCGGCCACGCAGCAGATTCGGAAGCCGAACATTAACCTAAACTAACTGATCGGACATGCAGCAGCTACCGTAGTGATGGCCAACATTAACGAACTAACTGATTCGGCCATTAACCAGAACTAACATGATCGGCCAGAACAACAGATTCGGTGGCCGTATCAAGTACATGATCGCGAACATTAACCTGAACTAACTGATTCGGCCATGCAGCAGCTTTGGTGGCCGTATCATGTTCATATTGGACAACATTAACCTGAACTACCGAATTCGGGCACGCAGCAGCTTCGGAGGGCGTATTGTATAAATGATGCCAATATTAAAATGAACTAACTGATTCGGCCACGGAGCAGCTTCGGAGGCCGTATAATGTACATGATCGAAAATATTAACCAGAACTAACTGATTCGGCCATGCAGCAGCTTCGGTGGCAGTATCTTGTTCATGACGGACAACATTAACCTGAACTACCTAATTCGGGCACGCGGCAGCTTCGGAGAGCGTATTGTGCAAATGATGGCCAACATTAACATGAACTAACTGATTCGGCCACGCAGCAACTGATCGGAGCCGTATCATGTTCATATTGGACAACATTAACCTGAACTACCGAATTCAGGCACGCGGCAGCTTCGGAGGGCGTATTGTATAAATGATGGCCAATATTATCATGAACTAACTGATACCGCCACGCAGCAGCTTCGGAGGCCGTATAATGTACATGATCGAAAACATTAACCAGAACTAACTGATTCGACCACGCAGCGGCTTCGGAGGCCGTATCATGTACATGATCGCGAACATTAACCTGAACTAACTGATTCGGCCATGCAGCAGCTTCGGTGGCAGTATCTTGTTCATGATGGACAACATTAACCTGAAATACTGAATTCGGGCACGCGGCAGCTTCGGAGAGCCTATTGTGTAAATGATGGCCAACATTAACATGAACTAACTGATTCGGCCACGCAGCAGCTTTGGAGTCCGTATCATGTCCATGATCGCGAACATTAACCTGAACTAACTGATTCGGCCATGCAGCAGCTTCGGTGGCCGTATCATGTACATGATCGCGAACATTAACCTGAACTAACTGATTCGGCCATGCAGCAGCTTCGGTGGCAGTATCTTGTTCATGATGGACAACATTAACCTGAACTACCGAATTCGGGCACGCAGCAGCTTCGGAGAGCGTATTGTGTAAAATGATGGCCAACATTAACATGAACTAACTGATTCGGCCACGCAGCAGCTTTGGAGTCCGTATCATGTACATGATCGCGAACATTAACCTGAACTAACTGATTCGGCCATGCAGCAGCTTTGGTGGCCGTATCATGTTCATATTGGACAACATTAACCTGAACTAACTGAATTCGGGCCACGCAGCAGCTTCGGAGGGCGTATTGTATAAATGATGCCAACATTAAAATGAACGCAACTGATTCGGCCACGGAACTGCAGCAGCTTCGGAGGCCGTATCATAATGTACATGATCGAAAATATTAACCTGAACTAACTGATTCGGCCATGCAGCAGCTTCGGTGGCAGTATCTTGTTCCTGATGGACAACATTAACCTGAACTACCTGAATTCGGGCACGCAGCAGCTTCGGAGAGCGTATTGTGCAACTACCGATGGCCAACATTAACATGAACTAACTGATTCGGCAGCAGCTTCCGTATCATGTACATATCGAAAAACATTAACATTCGGAGTCCGTGTCATGTACATGATCGCCACGCACAGGCCGTTAACCTGAAGTTAACCTGAACTGATTCGGCCATGCAGCAGCTTCGGTGGCAGTATCTTGTTCATGATGGACAACATTAACCTGAAATACCGAATTCGGGCACGCGGCAGCTTCGGAGAGCCTATTGTGTAAATGATGGCCAACATTAACATGAACTAACTGATTCGGCCACGCAGCAGCTTTGGAGTCCGTATCATGTCCATGATCGCGAACATTAACCTGAAGTAACTGATTCGGCCATGCAGCAGCTTCGGTGGCCGTATCATGTACATGATCGCGAACATTAACCTGAACTAACTGATTCGGCCATGCAGCAGCTTCGGTGGCAGTATCTTGTTCATGATGGACAACATTAACCTGAACTACCGAATTCGGGCACGCAGCAGCTTCGGAGAGCGTATTGTGTAAAATGATGGCCAACATTAACATGAACTAACTGATTCGGCCACGCCGCAGCTTTGGAATCCGTATCATGTACATGATCGCGAACATTAACCTGAACTAACTGATTCGGCCATGCAGCAGCTTCGGTGGCCGTATCATGTACATGATCGCGAACATTAACTTGAACAAACTGATTCGGCCACGCAGCAGCTTTGGAGGCCGTATCAAGTACATGATCGCGAACATTAACCTGAACTAACTGATTCGGCCATGCAGCAGCATCGGTGGCCGTATCATGTTCATATTCGACAACATTAACCTGAACTACCGAATTCGGGCACGCGGCAGCTTCGGAGGGCGTATTGTATAAATGATGGCCAATATTATCATGAACTAACTGATACCGCCACGCAGCAGCTTCGGAGGCCGTATAATGTACATGATCGAAAACATTAACCAGAACTAACTGATTCGACCACGCAGCGGCTTCGGAGGCCGTATCATATACATGATCGCGAACATTAACCTGAACTAACTGATTCGGCCATGCAGCAACATTAACCTGAACTCGGTGGCCGTATCTTGTTCATGATGGACAACATTAACCTGAAATACTGAATTCGGGCACGCGGCATCTTCGGAGGGCCTATTGTATAAATGATGGCCAATATTAACATGAACTAACTGATTCGGCCACGCAGCAGCTTTGGAGGCCGTATCAATGTCCATGATCGCGAACATTAACCTAAACTAACTGATTCGGCCACGCAGCAGCTTCGGTGGCCGTATCATGTACATGATCGCGAACATTAACCTGAACTAACTGATTCGGCCATGCAGCAGCTTCGGTGGCAGTATCTTGTTCATGATGGACAACATTAACCTGAACTACCGAATTCGGGCACGCGGCAGCTTCGGAGAGCGTATTGTGTAAAATGATGGCCAACATTAACATGAACTAACTGATTCGGCCACGCCGCAGCTTTTGGAATCCGTATCATTTTGTGCACATGATCGCGAACATTAACCTGAACTAACTGATTCGGCAATGCAGCAGCTTCGGTGGCCGTATCATGTACATGATCGCGAACATTAACCTGAACTAACTGATTCGGCCATGCAGCAGCTTTGGAGGCCGTATCAAGTACATGATCGCGAACATTAACCTGAACTAACTGATTCGGCCATGCAGCAGCATCGGTGGCCGTATCAACATTAACCTTCATATTGGACAACATTAACCTGAACTACCGTACATTCGGGCAACATTAACCGCAGCTTCGGAGGGGCGTATTGTGATAAATGATGGCCAATATTATCATGAACTAACTGATTCCGCCACGCGGCAGCTTCGATGGGCCGTATAATGTACATTTGATCGAAAACATTAACCAGAACTAACTGATTCGACCACGCAGCAACTAACTGCTTCGTTCGATGGACAACATTAACCTGAACTCGCGAAGCAGCTTAGAGTATTGGCCATGCGTACATGATCGCGAACATTAACCTGAACTAACTGATTCGGCCATGCAGCAGCTTCGGTGGCCGTATCATGAATACATGATCGCGAACATTAACCTGAACTAACTGATTCGGCCATGCAGCAGCATCGGTGGCCGTATCATGTTCATATTCGACAACATTAACCTGAACTACCGAATTCGGGCACGCGGTAGCTTCGGAGGGCGTAGTGTATATATGATGGCCAATATTAACACGAACTAACTGATTCGGCCACGCAGCAGCTTCGGAGGCCGTATAATGTACATGATAGAAAACATTAAGCAGAACTAACTGATTCGGCCACGCAGCAGCTTCGGAGGCCGTATCATATACATGATCGCGAACATTAACCTGAACTAACTGATTCGGCCACACAGCAGCGTCGGTGGCCGTATCATGTACATGATCGCGAACATTAACCTGAACTAACTGATTCGGCCATGCAGCAGCATCGGTGGCCGTATCATGTTCATATTGGACAACATTAACCTGAACTACCGAATTCGGGCACGCGGCATCTTCGGAGGGCGTATTGTATAAAGGATGGCCAATCTTAACATGAACTAACTGATTCGGCCACGCAGCAGCTTCGGAGGCCGTATAATGTACATGATCGAAAACATTAACCAGAACTAACTGATTCGGCCACGCAGCAGCTTCGGAGGCCGTATCATGTACATGATCGCGAACATTAACCTGAACTAACTGATTCGGCCATGCAGCAGCTTCGGTGGCAGTATCTTGTTCATGATGGACAACATTAACCTGAACTACCGAATTCGGGCACGCGGCAGCTTCGGAGGGCGTATTGTGTAAATGATGGCCAACATTAACATGAACTAACCGATTCGGCCACGCAGCAGCTTCGGGGGCCTTATCATGTACGTGATCGCGAACATTAACCTGAACTAACTGATTTGGCCATGCAGCAGCTTCGGTGGCCGTATGTACATGATCGCGAACATTAAGCTGAACTAACTGATTTTGCCATGCAGCAGCTTCGGAGGCAGTATCATGTAGATGATCGCGAACATTAACCTGAACTAACTGATTCGGCCATGCAGCAGCTTCGGAGTCTGTATCATGTACATGATCGCGAACATTAACCTGAACTAACTGATTCGGCCATGCAGCAGCTTCGGTGGCCGTATCATGTACATGATCGCGAACATTAACCTGAACTAACTGATTCGGCCATGCAGCAGATTCGGTGGAAGTATGTTGTTCATGATGTACAACATTAACTTGAACTACCGAATTCCGGCACGGGGAAGCTTCGGAGGGCGTATTGTGTAAATGATGGCCAACATTAACATGAACTAACTGATTCGGCCACGCAGCATCTTCGGAGGCCTTATCATGTACGTGATCGCGAACATTAACCTGAACTAACTGATTCGGCCATGCAGCAGCTTCGGTGGCCGTATCATGTACATGATCGCGAACATTAACCTGAAATAACTGATTCGGCCACGCAGCAGCTTTGGAGGCCGTATCATGTACATGATCGCGAACATTAACCTGAACTAACTGATTCGGCCACGCAGCAGCTTCGGAGGCAGTATCATGTACATAATCGCGACCATTAACCAGAACTAACCGATTCGGCCACGCAGCAGCTTCGGTGGGCGTATTGTGTAAATGATGGCCAAAATTAACGTGAACTAACTGATTCGGCCACGCAGCAGCTTCGAAGGCCGTATAATGTACATGATCGCGAACATTAACCTGAAATAACTGATTCGGCCATGCAGCAGCTTCGGTGGCCGTATCATGTACATGATCGCGAACATTAACCTGAACGAACTGATTCGGACATGCAGCAGCTTCGGTGACCGTGTCATGTTCATGATGGACAACATTAACCTAAACTACCGAATTCGGGCACGCGGCAGCTTCGGAGGGCGTATTGTGTAAATGATGGCCAATATTAACATGAACTCACTTATTCGGCCACGCAGCAGCTTCGGAAGCGGTATCCTTGTACATGATCGCGAACATTAACCTGACCTAACTGATTCGGCCATGCAGCAGCTTTGGTGGCCGTATCATGTTCATGATGGACAACATTAACCTGAACTACCGAATTCGGGCACGCGGCAGCTTCGGAGGGCGTATTGTGTAAATGATGGCCAATATTAACCTGAACTAACTGGTTCGTCCATGCAGCAGCTTTGGTGGCCGTATCGTGTACATGATATCCAACAATAACCTGAATTACCGAATTCGGGCACGCGGCATCTTCGGAGGCCGTATCGTGTAGATGATGGCCAACATCAACCTTAACTATCGAAGTCGGCCACGCAGCAGCTTCGGAGGCCGTATCGTGTACATGATGGACAACATTAAACTGAACTAGCTAATTCGGGCACGCAGCAGATTCGGTGGCCGTATTGCGTACATGATCGAGTATATTAACCTGAACTGATTCGGCCATGCAGCAGCTTCGGAGGCTGTATCGTTTACATGATGGTCAACATTAACCTGAACTACCTCATTCGGCCACGCAGCAGCTTCGGATGCTGTAACGTGTACATGATGGCCAACATTAACCTGATCTACCTGATTCGTCCACGCAGCAGCTTCGGTGGCCGTATCGTGTTCATGATTGACAACATTAACCTGAACTACCGAATTCGGCCACGCAGCAGCTTCGGATGCTGTATCGTGTACATGATGGCCAACATTAACCCTAAGTCCCTGATTCAGGCACGCAGCAGCTTCGGATGCTGTATCTTGTACATGATCGCGAACATTAATCTGAACTAACTGATTCGGTCATGCAGCAGCTTTGGTGGCCGTATCTTGTTCATGATGGACAACATTTATCTGAACTCCCTGATTCGGCCACGCGGCATCTTCGATGGCACTATCGTGTACATGATGGCCAACATTATCCTGAACTACAAGATTCGGACACGCACCAGCTTCGGAGGCTGCATCTTGTACATGATGGTCAACATTAACCTGAAATACATGATACGGGGACGCACCAGCTTCGGAGGCCGTATCTTGTACATTATGGCCAACATTAACCTGAATTACCTGATTCGGACACGCAGCAGCTTCCGAGGCCGTGACGTGTACATGATGGCCAACGTGAAGAACCTGATTCAACTGTGGAATTGCATCGAAGCCACTATCGTATAGATGATTACGAATATTAACGAAAATCGCCTCTTCCGGATATTGAGCTGTATCAAAGCCCGCATGTTCGTCAATATCAACAGGGACCTTCTGGTGCAGGTCTGCCGTTGCTTCGGTGGCCGGCAATATTTTTAATATAGAAATACATTTGGATTACTTATTAAACAAATCTATCAAACTTCCATTCACTCTAATGATTATATTTACTATATCCTATAGTGATTTCCTTCTTATATATATGCACAATTTTAATATAAAATTGTTTGAAAACACTTTCATTACAATTGTGCACGATTTATACTATAGAAATCTCTAAATAATTTTACAATAGAAAAAAGTATTGTCATTGGTTACAAAGTTGAATACAACGTTTTAGCATCTTTAGCAGAAAACATTGTATCTCTGCTTAACTCACCAGTCGACCGGCTCTGTGGTTGTGTAGATTAATTTGTGCTTGAATGTCTTTTGCTGTAACGCGGGCATCCAGAAACTTTTGCGCAAAATGATCCCCAAATTCGATATCATGACTGCAGCCGCCCCATTCCCAGTTGAGGGCGGGTCCATGTGACCTCATATCACAGCCGCACGAACGTAGCTTCCCAAGGCTGCAGGCTGTTGACACTTGATGAGTCACGCCGGCTGCACTCAGGGCATGCGCAAATGCCGTTTCTCTGTAGCCTACAAAAACAAAGAAAGAAAAACAAATGATCAGAACAATGCTTTGCATTTTTAGAATATTTAACACATTGTCAGGTGGTTTGATTCGATTTCAAATACATTACAGTGACAGGCATTAATCGTTTGCTAAGCCTATGAATTATTCAGGCTAAAATCTGAATAATTCATTAACTATCAGACTGTACCATAAATTTGTTCGGTTTTTATAATTTATTTGAATACTTATTATTTATTGATAGTTCTTGTCGGGTTAATTTTGATAATTTTAATTATTGGAATGTGAATCTCCAATTAAAAATTTCGAGCGATTATCCAATACACCAGCTGCACATCCAAACTTACAGTACCTGGTATTTCGAAGCGGTCACCCATCTACGTACTGACCAGGCTCGACGTTGCTTAACTTTGGGAAGTGCTGTTTCAACAGGATGTGGCCGTAAGCATTAATAATTGAATAATGATAATCTGAATTTATATGGATGAAAGACGTGCTCAAAAAATTTGACAATTTTGAGTGGGTTCTGTCTTTAATCATGTCACCCCATGCAAGGTAATAAAGCCACTAAGGCACAAGTGGTTACTGAGTGTGAAAAAATCAGAAAAAAGAGAAACATTATTAAGGAGCGAGAACGAACGAGAGTAATCAAGAGGACAGTAGATAACGATTGACTTTGCATTTAAATTTTTGCACATCAAAGTTGGCTGGAAGCATGGAGTTGGAAGAGATTTCCTCAACCATGTAATTCAAAGAAACTGTTAGCATAAAACTTAGTTATATCCAACCAATTCAACTGTGAATTTATGAGACCTTACCGCCAATCTAGTACTGTGTTTCAATTCATAAAACTTAGGTACATTAGCGAAGAGTTGATTCGAACAATTACCATGTAAGTATTTATAGAAAAGGCAAAGGGAAGATACATTACAGCGGTAGAAATGTAACTGAAGCCGAGATGTCAAACCAAGACCAATAATATTGCTGATACTTCTTTGTATTTTATCAAGAATCTAGATATATAGCAGGAGCCCCGGAACTTATGTAGCAACAATATCCAAATCATGGACGAATTGTAGACTTATAAATATGTAAGACACAGTGAACCAATTTTCTTAGCAGCTGACCTAGAAATGGATTCAATATAATCTTTCAACTTCATGTCAGCCTAGAATGTAAGCCCGAGAAGGTGAAACGAGTCTCTCTCATGGAGGTTAGCATCAGCCATACTGATAGGAGACAGGAAGGTATCTTTCAAGTGATTGATAGATGCTTCGTTTCTGGCGGTGTTAAAATTAGCAAGCCATTCCTTAACACCTTCTTGAGATCAGCTACCAATCAGACCTTATCGAACGTACCAGGCTTACTATCGAGGTAGGAGTTGATGGTTGTGTCATCAGTATAAATATCAAGTTGAGAACTGATGTCATCAGGAAGGTCATTGATGAAAAAATAGGTCCAACGATAGAGCCCTGTGGGACATCTGCATTAATGAAAAAACATCTAGAAGATTGGCCGTTCAAGACAGCTTTCATTTTGATTTGTAAGAAAAACTGAATTAGTTCAAAAATTCGCCCGGAAATACGATACATAACCTTTCAACTTATGAAGAAGACTGGTAAGCCAAATATCGTTAAACGCTTTTGAGATATGTCCAAAGCAACAGCCCGAGCTTCACCATTCTTATCTAAAACTTAGTAGACTCTTTCAAAAATAATCGTCAGTATATCAGCAGTTGACCTATAGAAACGAAAGCCATATTGCTTGTCTGAAAGAAGGCCATGCGATTTGAGATGCTTAACCTATCCAGCATTGATTAAGGCCTCTAGTAGTTTACCAAAACGAGGTAGAAGGCTAACAGGTCGATAGTTGGAAGGGTCAGACTGTTCACCTGAGTTCTTAAAGAATAGAACAACAGAAGAGGATTTAAGGCAATAAGGCATTTATTATAGAGTTTAGAAAGAACGGGAGTCAGTTCAGGAGCACAGGACTATGACCGGGATTGCATCAGGTCTACATACTTTGAGGAGATCTAGATTAGGGAAGATAACAGAAACTATAGAAGGGGTTATATGTCAATCACTCAACAGAATCTCAGTTATAAGTGGAAAGTTAAGCAAGGGTATTCCAGATGAGCCAAGGGTAGAATTTCATGAGAATTTAGTGCCAAAGCATTCAACGGAAGTTGTTAACACCTCCTATATATAAATATATATATATATATATATATATATATATATATATATATATATATATATATGTAATTGTAAACGTACGGTATAGATGACAAAAATCTGGGTAGACTTGTGAAGAAGACCTGTATGCCAAACCCTGTCGAAATCTTGTCCAAAGATTTCCAAAAGTAACAGCCCGAGCTTCACCATTCTTATCTAAAACTTATTAGACTCTTTCAGCAATTATCGACCGTACATCAGAAGTTGACCTATAGAAACGAAAGCCATATTGCTTGTCTGGAAGAAGGGCATGCGATTTGAGATGCTTAACCTATTCAGCATTGATTAAGGCCTCTAGTAGTTTATCAAAAAGAGGAAGTTTTGGTTTGGTTTGATTTGTTTTACGGCATATCAACCTCAATGGGTTATTTTATTAATGCCGACAAGATTTTTATTGCTGGTTATTTTTTTTATCTATCTATCTATCTATCTATCTATCTATCTATCTATCTATCTATCTATCTCATTATATATTGGTTTGGTTTGGTTTGTTTTACGACATATGGGTTATTTAAGGTCGACAAAATTTTTATTGCTGGTAATATGTTTTTCTTCAAAAATCTATTTCTTGGAATATTTTTCCTTGAAGAAATCTATAGCTGGTCATATTTTTTTCAAAGAATGTATAGCTGTATTGCTGGTAATTTTTTTTAAAGTATTGCTGATGATAATTTTTCCTTAAAAAATCATTGCTGGTAATATTTTTTTCTTTTTTATTACAAAGTATTTCTGGTATTAAAACCTATTTTTACACAAGTTTGGATGTTAACTATTTACCCATAGCTGTGATCCTGACAGATGCTGCCATCCCGGGCCAAGGTTGACCTGGGAACACCAGCAATTAAGAATGTGGTTCTACACTCCTCAAAATCTCCTGATCAGAGGCCTTCCTGATAGAGGTAGTTTATCGTCTTACCCAGGACGCGTATGTTGTTTATCTTCATACCCAGGACGTGGATGTAGTTTATCGTCTTACCCAGGACGTGGATGTAGTTTATCTTTATACCCAGGACGTGGATGTACTTTATCGTCATACCCTGGACGTGGATGTAGTTTATCCTCATACCCAGGACGCGGATGTACTTTATCGTCATACCCAGGACGCGGATGTACTTTATCGTCATACCCAGGACGTGGATGTAGCTTATCGTCTTACCCTGGATGCGGATGTAGTTTATCGACTTACCCAGGACGGAAAAAGAGGTAGAAGACTAAGAGACCGATAGTTGGAAGGGTCAGACTGTTCACCTGATTTCTTAAAGACTGGAACAACAGAGAAGGATTACCAACAAATAGGAAAGCCAGAAGAAGTGAGGCATTTAAAGGCAATAGAGTGAGAACATGAGCTAATTCGGGGAGACATCATTAAATACTATTGCAGGGATACCACCAGGTCCACATGATTTGTGGGGATCCAGATTACAGATGATAGCAGAATTCTTAGAAGGAGTTATATACATAGCACTCAACAGAGACTCAGTGGCGGTCGGGCAAGAATACTCCAGATGAGTCAAGAGCAGAATTTCAGGAGAATTTACGGGCAAAACAATCTGCTTTATCAGCAGAACATGTTAACACCCCAAATTAGATAAAGAGAGGAGGTCTTGAAAGCTTACTCTTATTTCATACAAGAAATCCCAAATCTTTAGAAATTGTATAGTGCCTCATTCTATCAGCATAGACTTAGCTCCTACGAGGACACGTTTACTTTTAATACGTGCAGCTACGAATAGGTATCTGTTGAGACGGATGGCAAAATTGCATAGGGAAATGGAAAACATTATTTACATTATTCGGACTATCGTCGTCATCTTTGTTGTCATATTTATCACAACGAGGACACATGGAACAGTGGATAAAGGCGTTAGTTAGATCCAGTGACAGGACTCAAAAAGTGTGAGTTCAATACCTGGTGTAAATAATACCTCATCTGAGAAATATAGACAGATACTGAAAGGTTGAAACGTTGTGATAAATATGGCAAAAAGATGAGGACAATAGTCCGAATAATGAATAATGTAAATAATCTCATATCGAAAGATACTGAAAGGCCGAAACGTTGTAATAAATATCATCTCAGAAATATAGACAGATACTGAAAGACCGAAACGTTGTAATAAATATGGCAACAAAGATGAGGACAATAGTCCGAATAATGTAAATAATATACCTCATCTCAAAAATATAGACTAGCAAATGTTTATATGCAACAAAGATGAGCGTTAATGCCTCATCTCTTGATTCAAAAAATAGTACGACTAATACAGCAATCGCTATCACTTGACTTAAAATATTTTTTTGCCTTCCTTGCCTTTTAGAGGAGTGCCCTTTGGCGTGCTGATGTTGTTACATGCCTTACTTCTTAACTATATCACACTGCCAACTTTTTTCTAAGCTCTATAGTAAACATTAAATCCCTTACGAAAAAAGAACTAAACAAAATAAACACAATACGATCAGCTTTAAAAAAACGGAAAAACATTTTTAAGGGTTGACCGATTGTCGATTTTCACTCTGTTTGGGGGGGTGGGGGTGCTCAGAGTTGAAACTTCACATGATGACTCCCAATGGCCTCTTCATAAATCCGCTCGGTTTTCGTTAAAAACCGACATGCGGTTCAGACGCAATCTGGGCGTATCAGTTTTGGGTTTTATCGATTTTCCGCGCTGTTTTAGGGGTCCGTGGTCATGAAACTTCTGGACAACACTTCAATGGTAGACTCTAAGAGGCTGTCAAATTTGGTTGAAATGCGATCATTCCTTCTGTAAGCGGATTTTTTTCGATTATCGATTTTTTCGATTATCGATTTTTTCGGAACCT